CCCTTGCCCCCCCGGGGGGGGGGGTTGGGGGGGGGGGGGGGGTCTCTCTGTGCCTCAGTTTCCCCTCCTGCTGTCAGGAGAAGCTCCTGTCTGCGTGGCTGAACCTGGCCAGCAGCACCACTTGCACCCACATCTGAGAACCCTTGTCCTCATGCTGTGGGGAAAGGGGATGGAAGAGCTCAGCAGAGTGGGGTTTTTTGGGGCTGTTGGATGGGCTGTGGGGTATCTGCAGGCTGGAGGAACAGAGGAGGGGCGTGCCGGGCCATACCGTGCCGTGCCATCCCGACAGGACCTCATGCAGCCGGGGATGGGGATGTGGGGACGTGTTTTGCTGCTCTGTGGCAGCCGCACGGATGGAGTTGCCAGGCAACTGCCGGGTGGAGGCGAAGCGGGAACAAAGCGGGAACTGCCGGGACCCTCGTTCCTCCATCTCTCCCCAAACCCCCTGGGCAGTGGGGCCCAGCAAAGGCCATGGGGTCACTTGCTGTGTCCCCCCGGCCGCTGCTGCCATCCCAGCCGCAGGGCCGTTGTTTTGCAGGGGGATGGACCCGGAGGAGGGGACTGGCACCTGCTGGCCTGTCCAGAGGGTGCAAAATGGGGCTGGGGGCAGTGGGCATGGGCAGGATGGGTGCTCAGCGCCCCGCGGGAGCGGGGCAGGAGGATCAGCCCCAGGCAAGCGCCACATCTGGTCCTGCCCTGCCCCAGAACCTGCCCCGGAACCTGCCCCGGCACCTGCCCCGGCACGCCGGGACCCATTCCAGCCTGGCAGGCGGCGGAAGTGGGGGGGTCTGGCAGCCACCCCGACCTGCCCACCCTGCCCGCGGGGCAGCCCAGCCCCAGGGCTGCCAGGCTGGGGGATCTCGCACCCACCCCCGGCCTTTTCCCACGCTGCGGCGGGTGCAGAGAGCTGGGCTGGGGGTCCGGGGGTGGCTCACCCCACAGCTGGGGATGTGCCCCCCGTGCAGGGGACACTGGAGAGCGGCGGTGCCATGTGCCCCTGGGCTGGCATGAGGGAACTGTGTGCGTGTGCGGGGGGTAACCGGGCACGGCGGTGTGCCGGGGATGTGAGGCAGGGGCTGTGGGGCTGTGCCCCCGGTCGCGGTGTGTGACAGGCTCTGGGCTGTGTCCCCCAGGCTGTACGATGTGTGTAGGGGGGGAGCGTGGTGGCACCCCGGGGATGCGACAGGGGAATGCGGGGAGGTGGGTGCGGGGGTGCGTAATGCATCACCTGTGCGGGGCTGCGGGGAAGCGGGGGGGGTTGGACCGTGTCCCGGTGCGGGCCGGTGTCACCGCAGCCCCGGGGCGGGTTCGGTGCTGCGGGGAGGGGGCGAGCAGGTGCCGTTGGCGGCCCCGGGGGCGGCGGCGGTGCGGGGAAAGGGGCGGGCAGGTGCCGGGGTCGGCGGCGGCGGGGCCCTAACGGGGCGGGGCGGTGCTGGCGGCGGGGCCGGTGGGGGGCGGGCGCAACGCGCAGCCGGTGCGGGGCGGGCGGGGAGCGGTGCCGCGGCCCGAGCCCGAGCGGAGCCGAACGGAGCCGCCACCGCCGCCGATGGGCCCCTGAGCCGCCGCCGCCGCCGCGCCCGGGCGGCCATGAAGCCGCTGGAGAAGTTGCTGAAGAAGCCGGGCTCGCACCTGCCCGTCCGCCCCGCCGCCCCCCCGGGGCAGGTACCGGGGCCGGGGTCGGTGCCGGCGCCGCGGCGGCAGAGCCTGTCGCGCCCGCCCGCCTCCCCCGAGGAGCCGGCGGGGCCCGCGGGGCCGGTACCGGGGGGCGAGGGCCGCTGGCTGGAGCTACGGCCGCCCGAGGCGCCGCTCCGCTCCCCTGAGGACCCGTCACCGGGCTGCGACCGCGATCGGGACCGGGACCGGGACAGGGAGCCGCCGAGCCCGGAGCCGCCGCCCGCCGCCCGGTGCTGCTGCGGCTGCGGCTGCGCCCCCGCCGCGCCCGCGCCCCCCGAGCGGCTCCTGGCCGCGCTCCTCGACCGACTGCCGGCGGCTGCACACGGGAGGGGCTGCGGGGCAGGTACGGGGCTGCGGGACCGCCGGGACGGGCTGCGGGGAGCGCGTGGATCGCGGGCGATGCGGCGGAGCGGGGAGAGACCGGGACCGGGGGCGGCCGCTGCTTGCGGGGGGGATGCGCCGGTGGATGCTGGGGTGGGGGACAGCGGGGTGGGCGACACTCGTGCCCGGTGAGGCGGGTGGCCCTGCACAGGGCACAGCGGCGCACGGTGGGGGTGACAAGGTCAAAGCGGGGTCCCCGCCGGGGCAGGGCTCGGTGGCAGAGGGTGGGCAGGGATCTGTGGGGTGGGCAAGAGAGCACGGCAGAGGGGCTGGCAAGGGGATGAGGGCTCAATGGCAGCGCCAGCTCGGTGGGGGCCGGGGGTGGCCGGGCACCGGCAGTCACTGCAGCATCCACCTCCCGGTTGGATGGTCCTCAACATCCTCCTGGTGCTAAAATTAGCCCTGACGGGAGCTGCAGTGCAGGGGGGGCCGGTTGGATGCCCCTTGTCCTGGCTCAGGCCTCTCGGTGCTGTCCCACCGTGGCTGCCCGTGCCCAGGTGTCGGGGTGGTTTCGGTGTCAGGGCTGGGCGGGAGCCAGGCTGGGTGCAGGTGGGTGGGAGCCTTCCCACACCGCGGGGATCCCTGTCCCGGCCAATCCCCCTCGGCTGCCGGGAACAGAGGGCGTTGAGGACCCCAGGCCACTGCCAGCCCCCTGCTCCAGAGATGCCAGGGCCGGGATTGGGTGCAACCACCAAGAGGAGCCCTCGGGTAGGGGCGAGCTGGGACTGGCAGCACCAGGTCCTGCCTGCACAAGCATGCTGCCAGGCCTGGTGGTGCCCGGGCTGGCAGGGAGCAGGGGAGCAGGAGCCAGCACGGGGGTCCCAACACAGGGAAACATCCCTGTGAGTCTGGGGTACAGCGTGAGTGCTGCAGAGGGGTGGGAAAACTGAGGCAGGACTGGAGGGATGGAGGAGTGCTCAACTCCTGCCCCACAGGCAGAACCTGGGAGGGGGCTGCACTCAGGGCAGGGGGCTGGGAGAGCTGGGGGCTGTGCACCTGCACCCCCGTGCTGCCGGTGCCCCTGCCTGTCCCTGTGCCCCAGACTGCCTGCCCTGCTTTCAGCAGCAGCTGATGCCCCCTGGGTGCCGTGCCCGGCGCGGGAGCGTCAGGGGATCCTCTGCCCTGGCCTGGCACTGCTCCGTGACCGGGTTAACGGACTGGGCAGTGCCTGGGTGGATGCTCTGCATGGCCCCTGCGTGGGTCAGCTCCTTGGGCCTGGGATGGGCTCTGGGGTCCCACCACAGGACCCCCGGGGCACGAGGGCTGTGCTGGTGCCGGGTACAGGGAGGGAGCGGTGCCCCGTCCAGTGGTCACAGCGGTGACTGATGCCAGCTCTGACGGGCACAGACGCCGGTACCGAGCCCTCGGCTCACCTGGCCTCGCCAAAACACCTTCACAGGGCGGTGCCACCCGCGCTGCCCCGCAGAGCCCGGCTGTGCCACCCGCCCAGTGTGCCCCAAGCTGCCTGCCTCAGTTTCCCTTTGCCGTGTCCTGCTGTGCCCGCGGCCGGGCTCTCACGGGGCTCCCGGGTGTGCCGGGGCGTCGCGGCCCCGGTCCCGCCCTGCCGGCGCCTCTGCCCCCACACCGGCTCGGCCGGGCCCGGTTGCCCCGGGGCTGGGAGCGGGCCCTGAGTCAGCGCCGGCGCGGGGGGGTTCGCGTGGGGCCTCTCCCGGTGTCACCCCGCGAATTACCACCGCTCCCCTCACCCAGCCGCCCCGCCGGGCATGGGGGGGGGGGGGGGGCGGGGGGCTCTTTGGGGAGAGGGGGTGTGACCATGCCTGTCCCCCGTGTCCCCCCAGAGTCGCTGCTGGATGACATCGTGCTCACCCACTCGCTGTTCCTGCCCACCGAGCGCTTCCTGCAGCAGCTGCACCAGCAATATCCTGGGGGGCCACGGGGGTGGGCACGAGGGGCCTGGGGCTGGGCAGGAGGGGGGCACTGGGGTGCAGAGAGGGTGGGAACAAGGGTGCTGTGTAGGGATGGGTGCAATGGGGAGGTGGCCGAGGCTGAGTGGGACAGGAGGGGTCCTGGGATGGGCATGAGGAGGGTATTGGGGTGCAGTGAGGGTGGGCATAACGGGGCCATGAAGGGGATATGAGCTGGCATGAGTGTGCAACCAGGAGGGCACCAGCATGGGCACCAGGGTGCCGTGGAGCTGGCACAAGGGTGGCCACGAGGGTGACAAAACGGTGGGCGTGGGGGTTGCAAGGAGAAAGGGGGATGTGGGGAGGGCAGCGGGGGTGCTGTGGGTGGGCTCACAGGAGCAGCAAGAAGGGGATTGGGGTGCCATGAGGGTCGGCTATGGGTCTGGGGGCAAGATGGGCAGTGTGGTGCTACCAGGGAGGGCACAACGACCCTCAGTGAGGTCCCTCGGTGCGGCGGGTGCTGGGGGGTGGCCGAGGGTCCCTCCTTGCCGTGGCACCTCCTTGACAGTGCCACCTTCGTGCTGGCGGCGGGCAGCCCCCCGGCGCGCTGGGAGGAGGGCTCGGGGCTGCGGCGCAAGCGGGCGGTGCTGGCCGTGCTGCTGCACTTCCTCGAGACCTACAAGGGGCTGCTGCAGGAGGAGGAGAGCGCCGGGAAGGTCATCAAGGTGGGTGTCCCCTTCCCCTGTCCCCCCCCTCAGTCTAGGGAGTCCCGGCCCTGAGCCCTCTCGCCCCACAGGAGCTTTACCTGCTCATCATGAAGGACACGTCGCTGTACCACGAGCTGGAGGACGAGATCATCAAGCTGCACCAGCTCGTGGAGACTGTGGAGCTCAAGTGAGAAGAGGGTCAGAGGGTCCTGGGGGTGCCTGGGGTCAGGGGTCTCTGGGAGGATCAGGGGTCATCCCCCCAGGGGTTCCCAGGGAGGGCAGGGTGTCCTGTGGGGTCTGGGGTCCCTGTGGGACAAGGTTTGCTTGGTCCTGAGGTTTCCTCTGGGTCAGGAGGTCCCTGGGGAGGGCAGAGGGTCCTGGGGGTCCCTGTGGGTCAGGAAGTTCCCAAGAAGGACAAGGAGTTGTGGCCCTTGGGGGTGCCCAGGGGCTGGAGGGGTCACCCACCCTGGTGCCCTCCTGGTGGCACCTTCACATCCAGCTTTGTGCCCCCCTCATGCCCTTACCATGCGCAGCCTCGGACCCCTCCTCCTGTGCCCACCTTCCTCCTGTGCCCACCCTCCTCCTGTGCCCACCCTGCAGTCTCGGGGTGCAGCCCCGGGGTCTGGGGCCCTGCCTGAGCCCTGTGCTGTGCCCCCCAGGGTGGCCGACGAGACCCCCCCCCCGAACAAGCAGGTGAAGCCGCTGTTCCGGCATTTCCGACGCATCGACTCCTGCCTGCAGACCCGGGTGGCATTCCGGGGTTCTGACGAGAGTGAGTGACTTTGGGGGGGATCTGAGAGGGACTGGGGTCCCCTCTGTGACCCACCAGCCACTGTACGGGGCCGTGCCCTCTCCGTGCCTCAGTTTCCCCGGTGGGCAGTGCCCGGGGTGGTGTGGGGGTGCCCGGCGCTGACCCCCCGCCCTCTCCCCAGTTTTCTGCCGCGTGTACATGCCCGACCACTCGTACGTCACCATCCGCAGCCGCCTCTCGGCCTCGGTGCAGGACATCCTGGCCTCGGTCACCGAGAAGCTCCAGTACTCGGAGGAGCAGAGCGCCCGCGGGGACGCCCTCATCCTCGTCACCATGGCCTCGTCAGGAGGTGCCCGGGGGGCCGGGGGGGCTGCGGGCAGGGCTGGGGGGTCCCGGTGCTGACCCCAGCCTGTGCCCCCCGGCAGAGAAAGCGGTGCTGCAGCCCAGCGAGGAGTGCGTGTTCACCACCCTGGGCATCAACAGCCACCTCTTCGCCTGCACCAGGGACACTCTGGACTCCCTGGTGAGCCCCGCCGCGGGGACACCCCAACACCTGGCACGGCCACGGCTCCCTGTGCCGAGCGGGGCGAGCCGGGGGGACCCTGCCAGCCCTGAGCGCCCCGGCCGCTGTCCCCTGGCAGGTGCCACTGCCCGAGGAGATCCAGGTGGTGCCGGGAGACACCGAGATCCACCGAGCCGAGCCCGAGGACGTGGCCAACCACCTGACAGCCTTCCACTGGGAGCTCTTCCGCTGCATCCACGAGGTTCGGGGGGCCGGGGGTCCCAGGGGAACGAGCGTGTGGGGTTCACGTATTCCCTGAACAGAGAAACACGTGGTTCTCTCTCAGGATTTTCCTGAGATGCTGTGAGGAAGCTCACAGGGAGAAGAAAAACAATTCTGGTCTCCGTTTCTGCGCTTGCTGTTTGGCACACGTGGAATGTGTTACGGAGATTGTTTGCTAAAAGGGATTTGTTAGTTAGATTCTAGTGATAGTGGTTTTATTTCATTTGACCAGTTGGAGCCATGTGTGTATTGGACTGTTGGGTAAAGATGTCAATTTTTTCTTTAGTATAGTTTTATATATATATATACAGGTCAGAGGGTCTCTGGGGAGGGCAGAGAGTCCTGTGGAGTCTGGGGACCCTGTGGGACAAGGTTTGCTCAATCCTGAGGTTCCCTCAGGGTCAGAGGGTCTCTGGGGAGGGCAGAGAGTCCTGTGGAGTCTGGGGACCCTGTGGGACAAGGTTGGCTTGGTCCTGAGGTTCCCTCTGGGTCAGGGGGTCCCTGGGGAGAGCAGGGAGTGTCCTGTGGGGTCTGGGGTCCCTGTGGGACAAGGTTTGCTCAATCCTGAGGTTCCCTCAGGGTCAGGGGGTCCTTGGGCAGGGCAGAGGGTCCTGGGGGTCCCTGTGGGTCAGGAAGTTCCCAAGAAGGACAAGGAGTTGTGGCCCCTGGTGGTGTCCTGGGGTTGGAGGTGTCACCCACCCTGGTGCCCTCCTGGTGGCACCTTCACATCCAGCTTTGTGTCCCCTCATGCCCTCACCCTCTCCTGGGTGATCCCAGACCCCACCTGGGTTCTTCCAGACCCTCCTTGTGTGTTCTTGTGTGTTCAGGAGCTCCCTTCCCCCTCAGTACTCCTGGAACTTCTCTTCACTCCTGGATGCTCCCAGAGCACCCCTGGGTGCTCCCAGACACTGCCCAGGTGCTCCCAGGACCCTCGGGATGCCCATGCCCACACCTGGCTGCTCCCAGACCTCTCCTGGGCTCTTCCAGACCCCACTTTGAGTGCTCCTGGAACCCTCCAGCCCCTCTCACCCCCACCTCAGTGCTGCCAGGACCCCTCCGGGTGCTCCCAGACCACCCCTGGATGCTTCCAGACCTTTCTGGACACCCCCAGATGCTCCCTGAGCCTTTCCTGGGCTCTCCCAGAACCTCCTGGATGCTCCTGCCCTCCCCTTTGGTGCTCCCTGGCCCCGCTGGATGCTGCCTACCCTCTCCCCTTTTTTTGTCTTCCAGAAGCTCCCAGGGAAATTCAAGAATCTGTTTCGGAAGTTTGAGAACCTGACGGTGGGTGAGAGGTGTGGGGGCTGCTGTGGGTGTTGGGGGGGTGTCCCCAGGCCTCCCCTGGGGGTGTTTGGGGTGCTGGTGAGCAGGGGACATTCCTGAGGTGTCCCAGGGTGTCCTGGGGTGTCCTTGCCCCTCTCCTCCAGGCCACCAACCCCATACCCATGGCCACCAGCATGGGGGGGGGATCCAGGGCATCCCTGGGGAGCCCCCCCAAAGCCTGACCCCCCCATTTCCCCCCAGGACCCCTGCAGGAACCACAAGACCTACAGGGAGGTGCTGGCCAAGATGAAGCCCCCGCTCATCCCCTTCGTGCCTCTCATCCTCAAAGGTGAGGGGGGGTCTCAGGGGCTTCCCCTCGGTGGGTTGGGGTCCCTCTGACACCCCAATCACCCCCTCTCTCCCCCAGATCTGACCTTCCTGCATGAAGGCAGCAAAACCCTCCTGGACGGGCTGGTCAACGTGGAGAAACTGGTGGGTTCTGGGGGGGGATGGGGCAGAGGGACCCCCAGGATGAGGGCAGTGGGGAGGGGACTCCCCTGAGGGGCTGGAGGACCCCCCTTCCCCGAGGGTTTGGGGGTCCCCTCTCTGGGGTGGGAGGATTCAGGGTGTCCTGGGTGCAGGAACAGGATCCAGGGGGTCCCTGAGGGTGGGGGGTGTGCAGAAGGGGTCAGTGGTCCCTGGGGGGGTGGGCTGGGGTCTCGGGGGGCACTGCGGGGGCTGGGGGGGCACTGCTGGGGCTGGGGGGGCACTGCTGGGGCTGGGGGGACACTGCTGGGGAGCCCCACACGGCCCCAAACCCGCAGTGCTGGCCCTGAGGGATGGGGATGTGGCCAGAGCACCCTCAGACCTCTTTGTCCATGTCCCTGCTTCCCTGAATCCCTAAATCCCTGCATCCTCATCCCTTCATCTCTCATCCCTGAATCCCTGTCTGCATCCCTGTCCCCACATCCCCATTCCCACGTGGCCATTCCATCCCCATCCCTGTCCCTGCATCTCTTCCATCCTTCAATCCCCACTTTCACGTTGCCATCCCAATTTCCTTCCTTCATCCCCTCCATCCCCACATCCCCCATATCCCTTCCATCCTCTCTATCCCTTCCATCCCCTCCATCCCCTCATCCCCCCGCCCAGACGTGTATATTTTGTACTGCCGCTGTCCGGAATTGTACATTTATTTTTTAAGAAAAAGGAGGAAAAAAAGGCAAAAAAAAAAAAAAATCAAGCTGGGGGCGGGGCGGGGAGCCCCAATAAAAGTCTGTCCCAGCACCTGTCTGTTATAGATGGATGGTTGTTTCTCACCTGTCTCTGATGTCATGCTAAGGATTGAGGTCATGGTGGGAGTGACGTCACAGCACCGCTGTCGATGACGTCACTGCCCCGTCGCGGACAGGGTGGAGCCGACCTTCCCAAGATGGCGGCGGCGCGATGCCAATCTTTGACCTTCCAAACATGGCGGCCACAAAGGTTTCCTGCGCCTTCCCAATATGGCTGACCTTCTCAACATGGCGGGGGGGGGGGGGCAAGGGGGGGGGCCGGGGGGGGGGGGGGGGGCAACGGGACGGGACAGGAGCCACAGCCGTGCTCTGTCGGGGCATCACGGGCCTTCAGGAGCGTTTCGGCGCGGAGCGGGGAATTTCTTCCCGGTGGTGCCGCTCTGCCTTCGCTCACCGGGACACGGCGGCACTGGGTGCTCACGGAGCCGGCGTGCCCTTCCCAGTACGGCGATGATGGGCGCTTCCCTCATGGCCGCCCGACCTCCTCATCATGGCGCCGCCGCCCCGCCGTGCCCCGCCCAGATCCTGTTCGGCCGCGCAGGCGCAGAGGGGCCAGGACCGCCATTTCGTTCGGCGGGGCTGGGGCCGGGGCCGGGAGCGGCGGGAGGAGCCGCGGGTGAGCGGGGGAGGGCCGGGGGGGATCGGCGGGGCCGGGCCGGGGCTCGCGGGGCTAGGGGGGACGGGACTGCGGCCGCGGGACGCCTGTGTGGGGTGTGGTGCCTTGGGGTGGGCGCGTGGGGCCTGTGCGGAGCCTGGGACCGGCGGGGCTGGGGGCGCGCTGAGGCCTGCGCGGAGCTGGGGGGTGCCCGGGGCCGGCTGAGGGTCCTCGGAGCCGTCTGAGGGGTCCGCGGGGCCGGCTGTGGAGTGACAGGAACCGGCGAGGCCGGAGGGGCTGGAGCCCCCACATAGACCCCCTGGACCCTGACCCCTGGGCCGCCTGTGGGATCTCCCACCTCCCTGACTCCTGGCTCACGGCAGGGACCCTTCCCCAGAACTGCCCTGGACCCCCAGCACGGGTGTGCCAGTGAGGGGGGGCTCTGTGGGTCTGGGGGCTTGTGACCCCACCACCATGGGGACCCCCACTCTGACCTCTGAGAGCCATCCCCAGGACCCCCGTGAATCTCCACTGAGACCCCCGTCCTGTCCTTGACCCCTCCACCGTGACCCTTGAGTTACGTGTGGGATCCCTCCCCAGGACCCTCCTTGTGCCCCCAGCCAGGGTGTGCCTGGAACTGGCAGGACCAGTGGCGTGGGACCCCCTGGGATCCCCACACTGACCTCCTGGACTTCTCTACCCCTCCTTGGGCTCCTGTCTTTGGGTGGGCTGGCACCAGTGGGGCCAGGGGTCTGCGACCTCCACCCTGGCCCCTCTGGGACTGTCCTGAGATCCCTACCCTGACCCCTGGGGTCAGGAGGGGTCACTTCAGGGACCCCTCCCCAGGACCTCCAGAGCTGGCAGGGCTGGGGGCCTGGGATCCCCACTGTGACTCCTGGCACCCCTCTGAGACCCCCATATCGATGCCCTGGACCCTTCCACCCCAGCCTGGTGACCCACCATGGGGACCCCCAGCATGGAGACTCTGACCCCACAGTGTCCCCTGGGGCTCCCCCTATGGCCTCTGAGACCCCCACCATGGTCCCACTGACCCCTCCCCCCTGACTCCTGGGTCACTGCAGGGTCCCCTCCCCAAGACCCCCTTGGGGCTGTCCAGAACCAGCAGGACAGGGGCTGGGGACCCCCGGTGTGACCCCTGTGTCTACCTGGGACCCCTCCCATGACCCGTGGGACCCCTCTGCCCTTCCCAGGATCCCCCTGGACCCCCTCTATGACCCTCACACTGACTCCCAGGACCCCCTGGACCCCCACCCTGTGGGTGCCCAGAACCAGAAAGGGCTGGGGGTGCACTGGGGCCTGTCAGGACAGGGGGGGACCCTGTTTGGGGTACAGAAGGACCTTTTGGAGCCTGTGGTGGCTTAGGGATGACCACGGACACGGAGTTCCGTGGAATCCTGGAATGACTCGAGTTGGAAATGACCTTAAATGCCATCTTCCACTGGAAGGGGTTGTTCCAAGCCCCATCCAAGCTTGGAACACTTCCAGGGATGGGGCAGCCACAGCTTTTCTGGGCAGCGCTGGAGCTGAGTTGTCCCTCCCGCTGCAGGGAGACGCATCCAGGACTCCCTGCTCCCGGTGCAGCACGGATGGGAGTGCCGGTGCACCGGGAGCATTGCGGGATCCCGCTCCGTCTGTCGGGATCGCTGCACCCGGAATTCCCAGCTCCGGCTCGAAGGAACCGGGAAGTCCCCGCGTCTCCTGCCGCTTCCTCCCGCTGGAATAATTCAGCGCTTCCTGCCCAGCCCCTCGGTTCCTGCCCAGCCCCTCGTGTGCCACCTCTCCCTTCCCGGCTTCCTTTTGCCTCTTCGGCAAAGGGGGAGCGGCAGGGGAGGCTGCGGGCCTGGCAGGACGGGCTTTTCCTGCTTTTCCTTTTGCTGCAGCGGAATTTCGGGACAGGGTGCCTTGCTCCTGATTAAAGGTTTCCTCTGCTGGGTGACCTGAGATGAGATGGGAGCAAGGGACAGACTGAGCCGGGAATGGGAAAATGAGGCCAAGGAAACTGTGGAGAGGAAAACGGAGGATGTGGAAGTTCCAGATGGGTAGGGAAACTGAAGTTTTGGAAGCTGTGTGTGGATGGGGAAACTGAGGCTGTGGAGCTCATCCCTGAGGAATTAGAAACTCCGGAGATCGGGGTTTTTGTTAAAAACGCCTCGTCAGAGCCCGCGGGTCGTTAATAATTCACAGGGAGCGTCTGGATCCCGCGGGGCCGGAGCGTGTCTGTCTGTCTGCACGCAGGGATGCGCCGGCTCCGCGGGATGCTCCAAATGGAGCTGGCAGCTCGGCTCGGGAAGCATGCTGATAGGATTTTAAAAGCTTCAATGACCTTAAATCCTGCGATGGCTGTCGCTCAGGATAAATTATTTATGTAGCATCCTCAGCTCCTCGGGAGCGGGCAGGAATGTCAGGCTGCTCTGGAGGACAGGGTTGGAATTTGGGAGGGGGTAGCGAGGAACTGCGGGTTTGGATGGGAAGAGAGGGAAGATAAAGGCGCGGGGGCGGGTGTTGGAGAGGTCCAGCCTTGGAAGTCGTTCCCAAACCGGTGCGGCCGCATTTCTGCACCGACATCAGAGGGTGGAAATTCCTCTTGATCTGCAGTTCAAAGCCTCCCTGAGGATGAAGCGCTGCAGCTCGGGCTTGCAAATGTGAAATACAAATCCGCCCGGAGCCCAAATCCCTCTGAAAAGCGAGGAAATAGGCGGCTGAAGGTCACTGCTGCTGCCTGTCCTGCTCCAGCAGCAATCCCCCCGGGATGAGCGGGATGGGGGCTGCTGCTGGGGAGGGCGTTTCAATTCCCTCCACAGCACTCAGGGACTTGAAAAATGCCTGGAAAACGTGGCATGTCTCCCAGGCCGGGCCGGATCTGCCCAATCCTGCAGCTTTTAGGGGACAAGGGGCAGCTGAATGTCAAGTTCTTGGGATTTAGTAATGTTTTGATCCCAGGGTTGACAGGGAAGTGCTGATCCAAAGCGCTCCTGAGGCGTCTGTGGCCATGGTGGGCTCCAGCGTGTGGAACAGCAGCTCTGAAGCAGCTTTCCACAGGGTGACCTCGATCTGCTGATCTCTCCCTCCTCCCAAGGGACAGCTTTTCACACCTTGTTTTCCTCCTGCTTTGCTCAGAGCTTTCCTGAGGTTTGGTTTGGATTGGAAAAGCAAAGGCACTGTGTAAACCTGCCCCTCCTGCCTCAGCCCAGCTTTTATCCACTGGTGTGTCTGGATTCAGCCACTTTCCCTGCGAGCACAGGGAGCTGCCACCACAGCTTGTGGAGCCCTCAGAGGCTCTGGTGTGTCTTGGTGGAAAGGTCCTGGTAGGGAAGAACAAAGGAGAAGGAGTGCAGAGAAGTCTGAGTGTTGTTCACAGGGATAGCTTCTGCCAGGCATGAAGGGGTGTTGGGAGGAGAACTCCCCCCCCTTTTTTCTTTTCCTGGAGGATTTAGCTCCTGTCTCCCTAATCTGTATCAGCTGGGTCTGTCTTCTTGCACATGAAAGATCCAGGCTGTATTTCAAAGGCACCGTTCCCACCCGGAGCTCTCAGCTTTTCCCAGCCGTGTGCTGAGTTCGGGGCCTCTCGATTTTGGTTTTTCAATGTGACCTTTGCTGTTAATCCCCAGCCCAAACGGGGCCGTGCACCGAAATGGAATGACCTGTTTCTTGGGAATTCAGCTCCAGTTTATCCTCAAGCTGCTTTAGCTTAAACTCTTCTCTCCTTTCCTCTCGCTCTTCTAGGTCAGAGCCTGGATCCGAGTGCAGGTTTTGCTGTAAGGGCACCTTAGAGGGGAGATAGTGACTCGTGATCTGTTTATAAAAATACCCCCCTTGTCCTGCAGGTCCCTGTGGATTGTCCCTGTGGATTGTCCCTGTGGACTGTCTGGAGCCTGTCGCAGGGTGTCAGCAGGTCACACTGAGAGACCCCAGCAGTGCTGGCCTGGCACGGGTGGCACTGGATGGTTTGTGCCAACTGACAATCCCTGTTTGTCTCTCTGTGAGATGAATTGCTGTCACAGGGGCCACTGAGGGAAGTGTCACCCTGGGAGTAACCAGCTGGCACAGGAGCAGAGCGGGGACACAACGCGTGACGTTCCCGTGGGTCGGAAGGTGGTGGCCCTGGCATCACTCCTGTGCTGGCTCAGGGCTGTGACACACGAGCCCGAGTCAGGAGTCTCATTACCTGGCGTGTTCCTCAGCTGGATCCCTGCTAATTCCCTCCGGCAGCTGATCCAGCACGGCTGGGGCTCTGCCCGGAGCCACTCGTGCCACCCTGGCCCTGTGATCCCACTGCGGGTGGGAAGGAGCACAGGGAAAAGTGTTCCTGTTCCAACACGTCCCAGACGAGCACGTTCAGAGCTGTCTGTGATCCTGCTCCAGTGGGAAAGGCTGAGGCTGGATGGGTTTGCTGGGTGTTGTTCCTGACTGGAGTGTCCGGGGGGATCGATGGATGTCAGATCTTGGGTGGGAGGCCCCGAGCTCGGCCTGGGGAGAAGGAGCAGCACGTTTGTTATGGGAGGGCACTGGGGAGCTGGGAGCCTCAGGGACTTGGAAAATGCCATGAGATAGGGGGAGGAATGTCTTCCTGATGAAGCTGTAGCTGAGGACTTCTCACAGGGTAGAAGAGCTGATTTTAATTAAAAGGCAGTTTAGGTATTTATTTATTTCCCTGAACCCTAGAGCCAGTGGTTTGCCCGAGGGCAGGGGAGCTGCTGTTGTGACAGCCATGCTGCTGCTCCCTGCTTCCCGTTCTCACACCCTGGGAATGTCTGACAGAAGATGGACCTGTGTCCTGTGGGATTAGGAAGTTGTAGTTTATCTAGCAGGAGGTGAGTGTGGGAAGGGATCTGGTTGGTAATACCTGGTACAAACCTGAGTCATAAAGGAACTTTCCCTGCAGTGGGGGCTGTTCCCGTGCCCTCTGTCACCTGCCTGGAGGTCAGGGCTCTGAAATCGGGAGTTTCAGGTGTGAAACTGCCCTGTCCTTTCCTCCTGTTGGTGGTGTGGTTCCCGTTAGTGACTGTGGAATAGGTTTTCCTGTGGGAAGGACATCTGTGGCCCAGAGAGGGACATTTGTCCCGTGCCTCAGGGTCTGCCCTGAGCTCCTGGGACTCTCCATGTGGTGAGCAAGGCCTCCAGTCATCACATTCCTATTCCCTGAGCCGGTGCTATGGGAGGCCCTACCTGAGCTCTGCTGTCAGCAGCACGAGGGCCTGTGACTTCCCAGTGATTCAGGCTCCCCTTCCTGTCCCCAGTCCCTCTGTGTTCCATCTCCAGTGCCGACCGGAGCTACTGGGCCCTGCGGAGCCCCGGGAGCTTTTCCAGGTGAGCCCTGGTGCCAGACAGGTTCGTTCTGGGCTTCTGAGGAGTTGGAGCATTGCCAGATCTGTGCTGGGAAAGCTGATTTCCCTGACTGCTTGGACAGCTTCGAGGGGGCTTTGGAGTTGTGGGGCACAGAGAGCCTTCAGTGCTGGGGGTTATTGATGTAGGAGACAAGAGGTTGGGAAATTCGGGGGTGGGAGCCACAGGGCAGTCCTGTGCTGCTCTGGCTGCTGTGGAGCTGGAGCCATCTGGCAGATTTGCCCTGGCCATGGCTGGAGAGGCCATGGGGCCACGTGCCAGTGCTGGTGGGCTACTGTCACACTCCAAGTGAGCAGCCTCTGGCTGCAGCTGGAGGAGCTGGATGGATGGTGCAGGATCAGCTTGGCCAGGTTTTGTCTGCTCAGGCAAGGTCGTTGTGTGAGACAATTCCTGGGTTTGGACTGCAGGCACTGTGGGAGCCCTGGGGATTTGGGGTGGGGATGTGCTGGCTCCCACCTCTGTCACCTGCTGCTCCAGGGTGTTGGGACAGCCTGGGAGAGCAGCTCCAGCTGCTGCTCTTCATGGGCACAAGACACCAGCACAATTCCCCGGGGCTGTGTTTCACCGCTGGCTTTTCCCTGACCGCTTCCTCCCTTCCTGCAGGCATGAGTGCCCAGGCCTGCCCCCAGCACTGAGACCCCGGAGCCGCCAGGATGCCGATCCCTCCTCCCCCGCCGCCGCCCCCCGGCCCCCCG